GAGTAGATCAGAAAATTCCAAGCTCTCAAGATTTTCCCCCACAAAAGAGATGAAATAGCACCTCAGGGTGAATGATGAGCAGTAAAAATAAATAAGAGTAGGGACAGAACAGGGGTCCTCCTGGGACAATTGGAGAAGATCTGAAGAAAAATCCTCAGGATGAGGTTTGGTCCTTATAAAGGGTAAACACCTCCAGGCTAGGTCCCAGGTCCGCTTAAACAACAAGCAGCAAACCCTGGGGTTAGCTGGGTTGGGAGGCTGCCTCGGCCCCAGCTGCAGGAACTTTTATCCCTGGGACAGTGAGGGGTATTGGGTGTCTGAGCCAGGAAAATTGAGGGAACCTCTGCTGACAAGGAATGCCAGAACCAGCTGTGCTGGGGAGATGTGGTGGGGGTGAGAAAAAACCAGCACATGCCCAGTGAGTGCAGAAGCAATGGGGTGGGGATGCTGTTGGCTATGGGCATTTACAGGAGGATAGAGGTCTTGGTTCCAGTTCCAGGCCAGATGGGAGAACTGAAGGTGGATCTGAGGCCAGAGGTATCATCCCCTAAACCCCAGGACTAGCAGTGATTACAATAAACTAAGGTACTATGAAAAAAAAAATGCACAGGCAAAAGAGAAAGAATCCAACCATAGAGAGTTACTATGAGAATAGAGAAAACCGAGGTTCAACTTCAGAGGAGGATATTGAAGCAATGAAACCATCTTCTACCTCAAAGAGTAATGTCAAATGGTCACCTGACCAAAAAGAATTCATAGAAGAATTTAAAAAAGAGGTTAAAACCCAAATGAGAGAGATCGAAGAAAAAATAAAAATAAAAAACAATCCAAGAAAAACAAGATTATGAAAAGAAAGTCAACCAATTAGAAAAGGAGATCCAGAATCTTAAGGAAGAAAATGACTCCCTGAAAATCACAACTGGGCAAGGGGAAGCCAGTCAAGTTATGAGATCAAGAAATAATAAAACAAAATATAAAGAATGAAAAAATAGAAGACATGTGAAACATTTCATAAGAAAAACAATTGATCGGGAGAACAGATCAAGAGGAAACATAAGAATAATCAGACTACCTGAGAGCTATGATCAAAAATGGAATCCTGATACAATAATACAAAAAATAATTAAAGAAAATTGTCCTGAAGCATTAGAACAAGAGGGGAAAGTAGGAACAGAAAAAATCCACCAATCACCACCTGAAAGAGATCCTATGAGGAAAACCCACAGGAATCTCATAGTCAAATCCCAAAACTCCCAGCTCAAGGATAAAATATTACCAGCAACAAGTAAAAAACAATTTAAATATGGTGGTGCCACAATCAGAATCACACAAGACCTAGAAGTGGCGACACTAAAAGACCACAGGTCTTGGAACACTATATATTGAAGAGCGAAAGAACTGGTGTTCTGGCTGAAAATATGATACCCAGCAAAGCTAAGCATAATCCTAAATGGAAAAAATGGATATTTAATGAACTGTCAGATTTTCAGGATTTTGTTAAAAAAAAAAAACAAACCTGAACTAAATAGAAGATTTGACTTACAAAAGTCAAGAGAAATATAAGGTACATACCAAAGACTAATTACAAGGGACTCAATAAGGTCAGACTGTTTACTTTTTATGTATGTAAAATGTAAAATGTAAAATTATCTGAGATTGTTGCTCGTAACTGGGTAGGTCGTAAGAAACATTGGGGTGGACCCGAGTATGTTGATTTTAAAAAGTAAAACTGTTTAGGAACAGCTGCAATTATTTTATACAAATGAGGTATGAGAGGAAGAACAGACACAGAGGAATTAGATAGGGAGGAGAGCTGTTAGTTTTGGAAACCTACTTTCATTGGGAATGAGTTCGAGAGAACAATACATGTATATCTACAAGAGTGTAAAAGTTTTCCAAATTCAGAAAGAAATAAAACACTAAGGGGATAGGGAGCAGGGAGAGGATAAGGGAGGGATCTCTAGAGAGGAGGGTGAGGGAATAGGTTTATAGAAGGGTGTTTAGATTAATGGGAATGAGAGGACAAAGGAAGGATCTTGAGAGGGGAGGGTGAGGTAATAGGTCAAAGGGGGGTATAGAAGGGTGTTTAGATTTATGAGAATGGGAGGATAAGGAGGGATCCTTGGGGGGGGTAGGTTAAGTAATAGAAGGGCAAGGTAGCAGGTAACAAGTAAAGTAGAGGAGTTAGGAGAGATAGGAAATAAGAGATATACACAAACACAAAAACAAAGATCAGAAGTAGAATTTGTTAGGGAAAGTATATGTCTATATATGTATGTATGTGTATGTATATATAACTGTATATAAATATATCTATGCTTAATTGTAGCCTTCTGGGGCAGAGGAGAGGGGAGGGAGAAAAAAAGACTAATAACTAGGCATTAAAAATACCTTTTAAAAAGACACATTTCAAAATTAAAAAAAGTAAAGGTTATCCTTTTATTTTTTCTCACTTCCATATGCACAAGGACAGAAGAATTCAGAAGAGCATCCCATAGGCAGTAAAATTCGGCAATTATGCAGCAACCAAACAGTTGAGCCTTCTGAAGACAATAAAAAGCTCAACAGTATGGCAATCACTTGGTTTATAGGCAGTAAGCTCAACCATATCCTTTGATAGCCTTTTCCCCTCCAGACTAAGCCTTTTAAACTTAAAGTAAAGGCATGTAAAGTGTCACACAGTGCTAAGCAAAGAGACTATGATGGAGGAGATGCCAGCTGTAGTCAGAATAGCTGCAGATGCATGAGCAAGCTTGGCTGTCAATGGTGAGGTCACACCAACCACCCCTCCCCAATGAACTGATACTAGTACAATCAGCAACATATGGTTGGGGTCTGTCAGGACCACAGCAAAAGACGGCCAATTCCTAATTCAGGACTGTGAAGAGGAAAATGTGAAAACTTGAGTTAAGCCTGAAGGAGATTTAACTAGGGAGGGAAGGGACTTGTGTTCCAGGAGAGCAGAAGCAGACTAGACAGAACCCAGTCACTCCATCCAAAAATAGGGAGTAGAATCTAATCCAAACACAAAGTTCCAATACGGAAACTGAGGCTAAAGATATGAGTAAAAAGAAGAAAATGTTGAAAAAAATACTATAGATTGAGAAGCCCCAAAAATATACACAGAGAGTTGCACCACAAATTTAAGTAGTACCTCAGCGAAAAATAAAGGCTTGTTCACAAGAACATCAAAAGTCCCTGGAATAAAGTCCTTCATTTCCTTAAATGTTTAATTCCTCTCAGTTCTTCTGGGTAAGTTATACTTGGTTGTAAGTTTTTAATCTTTTGAAATATTATATGCCAAGATCTCCTCTCATAATGGTTGCTGTCAGGTGTTATGTGATCTTTAGTACTTTAACTTTCTTCCTGGCCACTATTCAGTATTTTAAAAATTGACTCAGAAGCTCTGGATTTTGACTGATATTCCTGGATGTTTTTAATTTGTTTGTTTTCTGGAGGTGACCAGTGGATTATGCTTTCATTTTGGACTCTGGTTCTAATAGATCTAAGGAGTCTTATTTTATGATTTCTTGAAACATGGCATCTGAGTCTAACTCTTGTCCCACTCCCAACAATTCTTAAGTTCTCTCTCCTTGAACTCTTTTATGTCAGAGGTTTTTGATAGCATATACTTTACAGTTTCTATTTTTTCAATTTTGTTCAAGTAATTCTTCTTGTCTCATAGAGACATTATTTTCTGTTTGGTTTATTACTTTCAGGGAGGCTGCTATTTGGAATAGGTTTGGTAGCTCCTGCACTAATTTATTTATTTTCCTTTCCATTCTTTACTGAGAACTCTCATTTTATTCTTATTTTTTCTCTCTTGCTTCATTCCAAGAAATAAGTCCTTATGGCCAGACTTTAAAAAAAATCTGAGATTCTACTTGTAATTGCTGTGAGTTGTTCCATTCTTCTGTTTGTGTCTTTTTACCCCAGATACATAACATTTCAACACCAGTAATTGCTGTCTCTTATTGTTTACTCTATTTTTAGCCCTACTTTCTGAAGTGGAACCTTGTGTCAGGACCAGGATCCGCTTACTCTCAGATAGCATTGCACGGCCTTCTTTGGTTCTAATTCATATTATCGTAGATTCTGGATACTTTCCGTCACCTCCCACTGGTGTCTGTGCAGCTCAGTGTGCTGGCACATTTCAGGCCTGCCTGTAACCTCCTGCCATGGAGTGTTGCATTCTTCAAGGCCTCCAGAAGTGGCTGAGGTCAGAGTGCTGCAAACTCTCAGGGCTTGATTCGTCTGAGATTTGTTGGCTCCTGTTCCCACCACCTCTGAAACCTGAGTGCCCCAGTTGTTCCAGAGTTTCCTTTTTGGAGCACTCCCATTTTCCTGCTCTCTGGAACACAGTGTTGCTCCAGGTGTCAGAGTATTTTTGGCTCCTGGTGAAGAATTCTGAGCTCTGTGCTTGCCCCAATTTTTCAAGATGACTCCTTCTTTAGTACCTGCAGGCTCCTGGATGTACCAGGGCTGGATGAAGGCACGGTAGCTTTTTGACAGATTTTTGCTAAGCAAAATTCAGTCTGGTACCTTTTTTTTTTTTATCTTTGCTGGAGTTCTTTTGTGATATCTAGCCTGTTTTGCTCCTTTTCACTGGGCCACCTTAATTGGTAATGTCTTGCCCTGTCTTCTTAAACCATTTTTTACAAGATCCCTAACAGATTCATAAATGAGTAATGCTCATCTTCAATTTGGCACTCTCACTGCTTTTCATGAGATAAAAACTCTGCAAAGGTTCAAAATAAATTGTATTTGGAAATAATATTTCAGGGCTAAATATTAAAATTATACTGCAAAATTGTGCTGGGCAATAACTTCATTAAGTTGGGTAGAACTGCCATGGCTTATTTTTCTAACATCAGCAAAAGGTAAGAAATATTTCATAAAAGTTAAATCATAGCATATGAAAAATTGCTTTCACAAACTTTACATGTACATATACACATATACACAGTTAACTTCATTTCATAAAAATTCATTTATTTAATTTTGGTTTATTGTTGACCAATAGTGGCAAAATAGATTATTTGGGAAAAGGATAAATTACTGCCGTGTACAAATATAATGGGTTAACAAATTGCATGTAGTATAAAAAGGATCCTCTGAAAGTATCTAAAAAAGTAAAGGCAGAATGGCATGAGCTGAAAAGGTAGTATTTTAAAGCAAAACCAAAAAGTACTGTAATTATTTTTTTAAAAACACACACCAATCCTGTAACAGTAAAATGTTCCCTGCTCATCAAATATTTTATGCAGAATGGAGGTGTAAGTAGAAGCAAAGAAAGCACAAAAATGATTGCCATACATTTTGTACAGGAAGCAATAATATGGTCACCTATGGTGCTGTGCAAGATGATTTCAGAAATGCTTCTGAATTACAGGGAAGCAATTGTTTTTAGATTGTGAGAAAACAAAGACTTGAAAAATCAAAAGGAGTATCTTGATGTTCAAGGGACAATTTATGATATGCCAAGATTAATATACACTGAAATAAAGTGGAATTTTTCTTTGCAAAGCTATGTTACACATGGCTATGAAAATCACTCTCAACAGAAAAAAAAATCTGATGTTTTATTAAATGTTCAGGAAATGTCATTTTCATGTGTCTTACGGTAGTCGAATAAGGAGTTATTGAGCATCAGTCCTGAGATTATACACAAATCAGATTTTAAAAAACTATAGAGAAAGGGGTTCATTCTGAAGTAAAATGAGAAATAAGCAACCCAACAGATAATCGTAAGCTCAGATACATAGATTCAGAGCTGGAGGGACTTTATAGCACTGTTTATCAACTGGCTATACCCTCTTTTAAAAAAAATCATCCAATTTAAACAAGTACATTAAATGTGTCAGCAAATAAATTCTCCTTTTTACAAATTTAGTGCTATCAAACATATGTTATAAATGCTGTAGATGCTCATTTCTGAAAACTATGATATTTGAAGTTAGATTATTATATAATAAAATTACATTTGTTTTTTCTACTTGGAATACCAGGTAAATTAGAAAACCTGCAGAAGTCATTGAAACTGTTCAATCAGAAGATATGAACTCTTCTTTGATATTAAGCTATAGAAAAAGTCTTTGTATCCCAGACAATGTTCTCTCAAGTGGTCCTGGGTGGCAAGTGTTGTTTATACATGCCTGCTATAGCTTTGGCAGCACTGTAGATCATTTGTCGTTGAGACATGCCAGTGAAAGCAACATGCCAATCAGTCCGGTTGACATGTACCAAGTTCTTCTCAAGCACTTCACCCACAGTTACCAAAAGGCCTGACCATTTTAGATTATAGTCCTGGGGAGTGAGATTTTGAGCCTGTGGAATAAAAAAATTAGCTGTTACTAATAAAATAATTTAAAAGGTGCTTATAATATACAAATTTCAGCCACATAGCCAAACATGATTACTGGAAATCTTCAAGACAGATTGCAACATTACCTATGAAATGAACTTGTAATACTATGCAAGAAACAAAACAGAAGAACCTCTTTTTTTAAACCCAAAGTGATGCTAGGATCATTTTATGGTACAAATATAAATTATCTCAAATTTAAAGGCTCCTATAGGAAAGTACTAAAATCTAATTATAGAAAGGATATTGGGGTGAGAGTCTAAAAGCTCAAGTGATATTATTAAGTTTGCCTTAGTAGTATTCACCTTGTATAAGTCAATTTTAACATTTTTATAAACAGCCTAACATCTTACTTTTTTAAAAAAATTAATTTATTTTGAATTATCAACAATCACTTCCATAAGCTTTTGAGTTTTAAATTTTTCTCCCTTTCCCTCTCCAAGATGGTGTGCAATCTGATATAGGTTATACATATACATTCCTATTAAACATATTTTCACATTAGTGATATTGTAAATAAGAATTAGAACCAATAGGAGGAACCACCAGAACGAGGAAACAAAATACAACAGAAGAAAAAAAATAGCAAATAGTATGCTTTGATCTGCATTCAAACTCCATAGTTCTTTCTTTGGATGTGGATAGCATTTTCCATCACGAGGCCTTTGGAGATGTCTTAGATCCTTTGTATTGCTGGGAAGGGCTAAGTTTATCAATATTAGTCATCACACAATGTGGCTGTTATTGTGCACAACATTCTCCTGGTTCTGCTCACTTCACTCAGCATCAGTTCACAAAAAGAACTGCTATAAATATTTTTGTTCATGTGGGTCCTTTATCCATTTGTATGATCTCTCTGGGACATAGCCCTAGAAGTGCTATTGCTGAGTCAAAGGGTATGCACATTTTTATAGCCCTTTGGGTACAGTTCCAAATTGCTCTCCAAAATAGTTGGATCATTTCACAACTCCACCAACAATGCATTAGTGTTCCAATTTTCCCACATCTTCTCCAACATTTATCATTTTCCTGTTTTATCATGTTGGCCAATCTGATAGGTGTGATGTGGTACCTCAGAGTTGTTTTGATTTGCATTTCTCTAATCAATAGTTATTCAGAGCATTTTTTCATATGACTATAGATGGCTTTAATTTCTTCATCTGAGAACTGCCTGTTCATATCCCATCTACTCTTTATACAAGGGTAATATAATACTGCCATGGGAAGTATTTTGGGCTATTTCAAAGAGTTGTTATCTTATCATTTGAAGTCATGGATTTAAATAAATGGATAAAACAAAACATAGCCCAAAAGACATCATATATTTTAAATACATCATGCATACTAGACCCAAACCCTGTTGGCTCTCTACGTTGTCTGTCACCACACTCATGCAAGAGATGAGGGACCAGGAGAGCCAATGTTTGATGACAAAAAGATAACAGCACATTTTCTCTTTCAGGGTGCCAAATGCAGGACAGAGGATACATTCAGATATACAACAGGACAGAATAATTATTGTGTTTGCTTTAAAATGTTGATACTTTTCAGAATCAGAAAAATGAGACTAGGGTGGCCAAGAGACAATGTCAGATCTACAAATTTAAAAAGCACAAGTACTAATACAAATATTGAATATATATGATAGCAGTTTTGTTTTTTTTTTGGTGAGGCAATTGAGGTTAAGTGACTTGCCCAGGGTCACATAGCTAGTGAGTATCATGTGTCTGAGGCTGAATTTGAACTCAAGTCCTCCTGACTCCAGGGCCGGTGCTCTATCCACTGCACCATCTAGCTGCCTCATGATAAGTTTTAAAAAAAATTTGACTAATCAAAGAAGTATAAGGAACTAACACAAATATACAAAGACCAAGAGCCCATAATGTAAAAGTAGTCAAATGATATGAATAAACAGTTCTCAAAAGAATGGCAAACTATTATCATCTATATGAAAGACTGCTCCAAATAACTGAAAATAAAAAAATTCAATTAACAAGCAAATTAACATCAAAGATTCATCTCACACCAGGCAAACTGGCAAAGATGGGAACAGTCAATGTTGGAATAACTGTGGAAAAACGGGCATACTGGAACCATGAACTAGTCTTGGTCATTTTAGAAAGAACTTTGAAATTAATTATGCTGATAAAGAGACTAAAGTATCCACCTTCTTTGACCCAGAATTTCCACTGCTAAGCATTTACCCCAAAGAAGGAAAAGACAGAGAAGTCCTATCTCTACCAAAATATTCTTAGCAGCACTTTTTGTAGTGACAATGGAAAAGAGGGATGCTCACCAAATAGTATTGGTACATGGATATAGTAGAATATAACTGCCCTTGTCAAAAATTAGCTATATGAAGAATTCAGAGAAGCATGGGAAGAACTGTATGAACTGAAGCAAAGTAAAATATGCAAAACAGGCAACAATCTACACAATGACTACAGCAATATAAATGTGAAGAACAAGAAGAACAAAACGCCACAGAAACTGAAAGCTATGTATGCAATGACCAAGCTAGGCCCTGAAGAAATGAGAAAAATATATCTCCCTTCTTTGAAGAGGTGGGAGACTATGGGAGTGAAAAACTACATGAGATCATATTATACTTGGATGATGTTCTGCTTAGCTTTAAGTGGAGCAAAGGAGAAGGGAGATATTTGTTAAAGAAGTTGATAGAATAAACAGTTGTCAATTAACTTCATTTTTTAAAATGAAGTGAACATCAAAACTCTGAAGATTTATCCTATACCAAGCAGAATGAAAAGTAAGAAAAAAATGTGGAACTAGTTAACACAAGAGGGTCTACTGGTAGAGGTGAATTAGTCCAGTCATTCTGGAAAGTAATTTGACATTATGCTAGAAAAAAATAAAATGACCCAGGGAATCCATTGCTAGGCATATGCCCCAAGGAAATCAAAGATATAAGGAAAGACTCCATTTGTATCAAAATATTAATAGTAGAACTTTTGTGGTAGCAAAGAACTGGAAACAAAAGAGACTTCCATCAACTGGAGGAATGGCTATAAAACTGTAGTAACATGAACGTACTGGGATATTATTGCACCATAAGAAACAATGAATATGAAGAATTCAGAAATGCATGTGGAAGAGTTTTCTGAACTAATGCAGAGTGAAATAAGTTTGAAGAAAACACAATGCCTATAACAACATAAATGGAAAGAATAGCAATGAAAGAAACCAGATTTTGTGTAATTATAATGACCAAACTTGGCTCCAGAGATATGTTGAAAAAAAAAAAAAAAGTATTTCTTTCCCTTCATTGTAAACATGCAGGATTATAGGCGTGGGATACTGTATACTGTTAGACACAGCAAAAGCCTAGGTTGCTGAACTGCTTTTTGCCCCTCTTCCTTTTTTATTCTTTATTAAGTGAGACAGTTGCCTGGGAAGAGAAAGGGGGAGGAATATATTTGGAATGAAGGTGAGATAAAAATAAAGGACATAAAAAACATCTTCAAAGATATGAAAATGAAAAATTATTTTTTAAAAACTGACTCAATTATAATTCAAGTTTAATAAGTATAATACGATCCATTTCAATGTTAAATGTCTTTGGAAAATTTCAGATTTTCCCCACTCAAATAATGAACAAAATTCAAATAATAACCTACAGTCTGAGTTTAAGAACCAATTCTATAAGAGAACATTTAAGTATAATGTCCACCTATGTTCTTTAACATCAACATCCTCGACAAAAGTCTTTAATTTTACCTTTTAATAGAAATTATAAGGGCTCGAGCATAAATGAGATTCAATATATTTCAAAGACAAATATAATTAATTCTTCAACATAAACAAAAATTCTACAAAAAACACAAGTAATATTCTAATGAACTGGGAGATATGAGGAAGAAGCCAGAAACATATTACCTTTTCACCCAATAAAAACAACTATGCAATTACTATTATATCAGGCTATGAGATATGGCATATTAACGCTATTACTTCCACTTTTCAGTTAGATGACCTGAGACAAACTGATAATTCCTAGCTATCAGTTGAATCATAAATGCCTATCATTTTTACTTGCTAAGCAATCAATTAGAATAGATTAACTATTCTAGAAATGAGCAAAGGGTTTTGAGGGAATCGTAAAAGAAAATCAAGTGAAGAAAGAAAGCAAAGGAAATAAAAATAGGAAAGTGAAATATGGGCAATGTGGGAAGTATAAAAAAATGGAGAAAACATAAAAAGGGGAAAGGATTTCAATGTGAAATTCAAATCTACAATTCTTATACTAAAAGTAATTTGAGATTAAAAAGTAGTTATTTCACTTAAAAATGGGACATTTCATTTTTTTAACAGTACCTGCTGTACATATTCCAAAGGCACTGGTGTAGCTTGTGTAAATGTTTCTAGATGAATGCCATGGACAGGATCCTCAATTATCAAACAGCCAATGTCAAACCACCTGAAATGTAATATATGTTCTGAACTACACATTTTAAAAGAAGATCAATTAGACTTTCAAAGCTATTATTAGCTGTAACAAAAAGAAACTGATTAGATATTGATGCAAGGAAGAGATAACAATTAAAACTAATAACTATTTCTTATCTAATCTGAAGAAAACCAATAAAAATAGTAACTACATTATTTAAAATCTAATTATGCATTATTCAAAACTTGAATGGATCTGATTTCAGCCATTAGGGTACCTACCAGTATAAATCTCTCTATGCCTTCCTATCTCTGTAAATCTTGGCTTTCTAAAATTTTGAGTACACCCAATATGCTGGGGGGTCTTCCTCTAGAATAGATCTCAACATTGCAAGATGCATGTAGACTGTTCACTGCTTATCCTTCAGTCTCTTTCCTTGACTAGGTCACCTCCTTTTGTGATCACATAGTCTGTTTTAACATGCGATTGCTTGGGGCAGCTAGCTAGGTGGCACAGTAGATAGAGCACCGACCCTGGAGTCAGGAGGACCTGAGTTCAAATCTGGCTTCAGATACTTGACACTTACTAGCTGTGTGACCCTGGGCAAGTCACTTAACCCCACTGCCTGACCAAAAACAAACCAAAACAGAACAAAAAAACATGTAATTGTTTACAAATAACATAAAACCAAAGAATATTTCCTTTTGTTCTCTTGAAATAGAGACAGACCATTTTCTATCTTTTTCCAAGAAAAATGTTGACTATAGTGTTAACAACTATATCAATCTATGTCAATTCTCTCAAAGAGAACCTAAAGATTATTGAAAGAGATCAGAAAAAGATAAGTACTTCTAAATACTAGAGATTACTGAGTTCTAGCATGGTAAGAAAATCCTCTAATTTAAAATAAAAAAGCCAAGGAGGTTTCCTCAAATAAATACAATAATTTATGGAATCATTCTTGATCACAGATTATATACTGAATTCAGAGTGGGACTATATTATCTTTAGTTAGATGTATATGAATATAAAATATCAAAACACTTCCCTAAAATGGCTTGTACAAAACCTAAAGGTTGACCGATTCTACCCCTGGTTTAAAAAAAAAAAATCAATAAAGTTAAAAAGTGATGGTAAAAGGAATACCCTATAGGTGAATCGAAAGATATGAAAAAGTTAAAAAGAAGTATTTTACAGAGTAATATTACACAAATATCTTTCAATGTCCATATATTTTTCTTTTCAAAGAAATCTCATTTTTGGTTCACATTTGGACCAACATACAGATGCTGTAATCACAACTGATCAATATAATGAAAAAGCCTGAAAACATGTAATGTGTAAACCTGTGGCCCTCCCACCTCCACAAAGGAGTGAGTTGGGTATTCTCATAGTTTTTCATTTAAGTCATGCCTGATCAATGCATTTTAGAAGACATATCTGGTAGATCTTCAAAATGACTACAACAGCCATAGATCATTGGGGTTAGCTGGAATTCTCAGGACAGTTGCACACTTAGCACTATTCTCTTTTCTCTTTCACTCAAGAGATCTTCCCATTCAACTTAAGTATTTGGGAAAAGAAAAAGTAGCTTCTTGCCAAAGATTAGGGAATCTCTCAATATGAATAACAGATGCATGGAAGCATCTAACAAAACTAGCGCTTTCTACTAAATAGTTTAAATTAGCTCTGTTAGCAATTCAAATTTAGAGTAACAGATACAAAGGCATTTGGTAAACCATAAAGTACCACAAATGTGTAACTTTCCAATATCTGGGATTGGGAACCTTTGGTGGTATCCCATTATTATGAATAATTATGAATTTTTTCTAGTAATTATTTCCAAACCAGCATGCCACTTTTTAAAAAAAGGTCAAACCATAATCCAAATATTAACTAATGTACCTAAAGACAAAATAAACTTCTGCTTCTTAAATCACTTTATTAAATTTAACTATTTTAATAACTACTAGTATATATAATCATTGGAAATGGACTTACTTGACTTCAATTCTTGCCTTTAACTTGTCTTAATACTCAAAAACGAATAATTTCAATATAGAAATGGTACAAAGGCAACCTTGAACACTGACACTCACATGTATTTTGCTTTAATCTCTAAAATAGTTCCCAAAGCTTGGATATATTTAATATATGCCATCTAGCTCTAATATACAATCTACTTTTATCCAGATACAGTACAATAAGCCTCTTACTTGTCAGGTAGCAATTCAGCAATGAAGTTTTCTACAGACACAGCAGGTTGTTTTTCATGAATCACACCAGTTAGACGTAAGTTGTCTATACGCTCCTGGGCCCCCTAAACATAACAGTGCAAGAGTTAGAGAATATCCTTTACTTCATTTAAATGGCTGCCTGAACAGAGGCAAATCATACAATCACCTGGAAAAAGACTGAATAATGATCAAGAAATCCAATTAAAGTATCTTCTTTCCCCCAGAGCTGCACAAAACAGCAAAGAATCTACTAATCACCTCCTAAAAGGAAAAGCCCAAGCAATGGCATAGACAGAATCCAGAGCTCCCATATCAAAGAAAAAATACTGAAAGCATAAAGAAAGTGTCAGTTCAAGCATTAAGGAGCCACCATCAGGATCACCCAAGACCTGACAACTTCAACTATACATGATAAGAGATCTGAGAATACAAAATTGTAAAAGGCATAGACAGATGCCAACAACCCAGAACAATTTGGTTATTAATATATATTAATATGCATATTAATTACAGAGGAACAAATCCCTGAAAGAATTTTAAAAATGGTACTAGCTGTGCACCCTTCTCTATTGAAAATCCCAGCAAACCAAAATGATCTTTGGCTGCTGCAATCAACTTTAAGATCCATTAGATATACCTTCTAAAACTGATTCATAGATCCTAATCCCAGCAAAACCGAATATAATCTCAGAGGAAATAAGGGACCTTTAATGAAAGAGAGGATGTTTATTTCTGAACAGAAGACAAGAGCTGAGTAGGAACTTTGAAGTACAAAAAGAAAAACCCAGAGAAACTATATTTAATTGAGCAAATGGAAGGGGCTAAATAATGATATACTGGTAATATTCAAATAGGAGAAGAAACAGTGTCTTTTCAGACCTTTAATGTCTTCAAAATCTTTTTTGGGGGGGGGGGCTAGGCAATGGGGTTAAGTGACTTGTCCAGGGTCACACATCTAGTAAGTGTTATGTGTCTGAGGTTGGATTTGAACTCAGGTCCTCCTGAATCCAGGGCTGGTGTGCCACCTAACTGCTCCCAATGTTTTCAAAATCTAATAAGGGTTCTTGGGGGTTGGTTATGTTCAGTTGGGACTATTTAAAGAGGTGGAAGAAAAATGTGGGTAAAAAGAACACACTGGTGTAGAAGGAAGGAAAATGGGGGTGGAACTGCTATTTCCCATAATTGAGATGAGTGAGAACACTATATAAACAAGGGAGAAGGAGTAGAGGCCCCAAAAGAATTCATGGAAGAGCTCAAAAGGGATTTTAAAAATCAAATAAGAAAGACTGAAAAAAAATTGGGAAAAGAAAGTGTAAGGGAATCATGTAAAAGATGTAAGAGAATCGTGAAAAAAGAGCCAAAATCTTGGTAAAAGAAACACAAAAAATGGAAAAACATACACAAAAATTCACCGAAGAAAACAACTCCTTGGGGCCATTAGGTGGCGCAGTGGATAGAGCTCAGGCCTTGGACACAGGAGGGCCTGAGTTCAAATCTGGCCTCAGACACATGACACTTACTAGCTGTGTGACCCTGGGCAAGTCACTTAACCTTGATTGCCTCGCCCGAAAAAAAAGAAAGAAAGAAAGAAAACAATTCTTTAAAAAGTAGAAGTGGATAAATGGAAAAAGAGATACAAAAGCTCACTGAAGAAAATAATTCCTTAAAAGTTAGAATTAGGCAAATGGACACTAATGACTCCATAAGACATCAAGAAACAATAAAAAAAAATCAAAAGAATGAAAAAATAGAAATGTGAAATATCACAGTGGAAAAACAACTGACCTGAAAAATATATCTAGGAGAGATAATGTTTTTGGACTGCCTGAAAGCCATGACCAAAAAAAGGAGCCTAGAGACCATCACATTTCAAGAAATTATCAAGGAAAATTGCCCTGATATCTAGAACCAAAGGGGAAAATAGAAATTGAAAGAATACGCCAATTAGCTCCTGAAATAGATCCCAAAATGAAACTCCCAGGAATATTATAGCCAAATTCCATAGCTCCTAGGCCAAGGAGAAAATATTGCAAGCAGACAGAAAGAGACAACTCAAATATTGCAGAGTCACAATCAGAATTACACAGGATTTAGCAATTTCTACACTAAAGAATGAAAGAGACTGGAATGTTATTCTGCAGGGCAAAGGAGCTAGGAGTACCAACCAAGAATCACCTACCCAGCAAAACTGAGTATAATCCTTCAGGGGAAAAAAAGGATTTTTAATGAAACAGAGGACTTTTAAGCATTCCTGATAAAAAGATCAGAGTGGAACAGAAAATCTGATTTTCAAAGACAAGACTCAAGAGAAGCATAAAAGAGTAAACAGGAAAGAGAAAACATACTCTGATCCAGCAATACCAATAATAGGTCGGTATCCCAAAGAAATTAAAAAAGGGAAAAGGACCTATTCGTACAAAAAACGTTTATAGCTGCTCTATTCAATGGCAAAGAATTGGAAACTGTGGGGATGCCCATCAACTGGGGAATGGCTGAACAAGTTGTTGTATATAATTGTGATGGAATACTATGGTGCAAGAAATGACAAGCAGGATGATTTCAGAAGAACGTGGAAAGACATACCTGAGCTGATGCAAAGTGAAATGAGCAGAACCAGAATATTGCACCCAGTAACAGCAATACTGTACACTGATCAACTGTGAATGACTAAGCTGTTCTCAGCAATACAGTGATGCAAGACAATTCCAGAGGTCTTGTGAAGAAAAAAGCTATCCACCTCCAAGGAAAGAATTGATAGTCTGAATACAGACCAAAATATGTTTTTCACTTTATTTTTTTTGGTTTGTGTTTTCTTTCACACCATGACTAATATGGAAGTGTTTTGCATAACTGCACATGTATAATCTATATCACAGTGCTTACCATAATCTTAGAGAGAGGGGAGAAGAGAGAGGGAGAAAATTTGGATCTCAAAATTAAAAAAAAAAAAAAGAAGCAAATGTTAAAACTGTTTTTACATACAACTGGGAGAAAGAAATAAAATATTAGGGAAAAACATTTAAATCTTGGTTTTCTATTGCCTATGAAATAAAACTGAAACTCTTTAAACATTTTTATCTGGCATTCAAGTTGATGCACAATCCAGTGTTATCTTACTTTTCCTGCCTCTCTTCATACCCTTTTACCCTCTCTATTCGCCAGCCAAACTGGACACTATCAACTTTATTTTCTACTTTTGTGTCTTTGTTCACAACCTTCTCTTTACCTAGAATGTCTCTATTTTACTCCCATTCATCATTTAAAGCTCAAGTAAAAATGCCACTGCTTCCATGAAGTATTCCCTAATATCTACCCTCCATTCCCCTTCCATAGACTTTTACCTTCAAATCTGCTTCAAACCTCAGGTAGGACTATGCTTTCTAGCACACCTTTGATATATTATTGTGAATTATCTTATCTTCCTAAATTCCAACACAAGACCCAAGTCTTATCTAAACTTTGGATCCCCACAACAAGCATAGCGCTTTGTACACAAGACACATTTAATGAATGTTTGTAGAACTGAATCTCTGATCTTCTTTAATTTTTGCTGTCCTTTGTTGATTGAGACAATATGGTGTAATAATTTTTTAATATTTACAATTCTCCTTGACCTGCTATTATCATTATACCTATAAGTATTACCAACATTTCTTACTGTAGATTTATTTTTAATTTTTAACTCCCTCCACAATGTATTCCTAAGATCACCAATGTTAAAAATGTTAAATTTTAAAATCATCTTATATGAAGGCATATAAATCCAATGGAATCATCAAAATAAGAATATTTACTAAATACCTTTAGACATTTAATATATAATTTCAACTTCTTTCCCTAAGGAGACTTACAACTCCAATTTTATTAGAGGAGTAAAAAAAAAAAATTGATGTAAAGAAGAAAAAAATCAGTAACTTGAAGTTTCCATACACTGGTACTAGAATTTGTAGAATTTCTAGAAGAAAACAACACATACTCACTCACTTTTAATCCAGCTGCATAGCCCACTGGTTGTGGTGCAAGGTTGGACTGGCCAGCTTCTCCTGTAACTACAGCTAAACCAAAGACTTCCTGGAAGGCATCTCGGATAGCAGCAATTTTTACCTCTTTATTTGAGGTTACCACAATATCTAGTTCACCTGCAGATTCTACCAGAAACCAAGAAAAAAAAAAAAAGATCCAGGTACAAACAGAAATCAAAGCCAAAGTTTTGCTATAATCATAATCATGTTTCTGTTCTTTAGATCACATATCATTTCTGTCCAAGAAATTCTTGGCTTCCATTTCTGGCATCCTCTTAATGAGACATCTGAGATTTGCAAAAACGGAAATGAAATACATTATATGCTTGAAATGGTAAGCTCCCTCTCCCAGTTCTCTTCTTACCTTCATGGCTCACTCTTCATTTTTATTATAGCCCATACTGTTGGTATTCCCCAAAGTTCTGTCCTAGGCTCTTCTTTTCCCATCTCTGTTTCTCTCTCTCTTCCCAACCATGGATTTAATTATCATCTCTAAGCAGATGACTCCCAGATCAAAATATTGTACTCCAATCTCTTGCTGTGCTTCAGTCCTGTGTAACCAATGACCTACTGGAACATTTCAAACTGGTAGAAGCATCCCATATATAATATATCCACAACTATGAACTCCTTTAACTCTGCATGCCCTTCCCCAACCAAAACTCTCCCCTTTCAAATTTTGATATTTCTGTAGCATCAACTCTTCAATCATTCTCATTCATCCCACATACACATTCAGTTGCCAAATCTTGTGTTTCTATTTCCACATCCAACATCTTTTCTCTATTCACACAGCTACTACCTTAATTCAGGCACTTAGCAGCTCTCTCCTAGATTATCTCTAACAGCCTCTTAATTGGTATCCCTGACTCAAGCTTTTCATGGCTCCAGTTACACTGATGCTAGTGATTTCCTTAAGTTAGATTTAACTGTATCACTCCTTTACTCAACCAACTTCAGTGACTTTGGTATGAAACATAAAGCCATGTGTCTAGCTTTTAAGGCCCTCTACAAAATGGGCCCAGACTATATTTCCAGCCTACTGAACACTACTCTCACTTCCATACTCTGTAATCCCAGCAAAATGGCCTTCTCTCTGTTCCTCATACACTCCATCTTGCATTTCAGTGTATTTTCACTAACCTTTACATCATGCCTAGAATGTACTCTCTTATTACCTCTGCCCCACAAAATCCCTCTCTTCCTTCTAGATGCAGTTTAAGTAACACCTTCCACACGAAACCTTTCCTGATCTTTCAAATGCTAGCGTCTTCCCTCCCAAATTGTCTTGCACTTTGCTATTTTATAATTATTTGTGTTGTGTAAGCTCCCAACTCCTCTTCTGAGCTGGGCCCATCACCTGAGCACTGAAATAGGCAATTGTGCAGATATCAGTGAGAAAATTCCACCCCCTCTCCTCATCTGCAACCTAGCATACTCACCCTCTGCCTCCTAAGTCATCTAGTAGCAATGGTAGGCACCTCTTGTAGGACAGATTCTGTAATCTTAGGCTCTACTACTGAGTATAAGACCTATCCCTCAGCACCTTATTCTAATTGAGTGGGAAAAAGTAGGTCAGATAGGATAAGTAGGAATGGATGGATTGTGATCTACACCTTAGATTTCATTAACTCGAACTGTCTTAAAATTTTAGACCTAATAAAACAATGTTTTTTTCTTTTTCTGGTGTACTTCTTTCAAAGGATTATAATGTTCAATTTCATTATACATTCATAAATCCAGTGATGAGACTAAAGGGATGGAATAATTTTTCTGCAAAAAAATCAGTCTTTTCTTAATCATAGCACATATCCTTATGCTCATCAAAGCCAAAGTAAGGCAATGAAACCATCAAAAGATGGTCAGTAAGCTTTAGTCAATAAACTGGTTCATATAACTCCAAGGATTTATATTGATTTCAAAACCTTTGTCCTATCTTCCCCTCAGAGCCACATTTTATTTATTTGAACTATGAAAATCACAAAAAGGGGAATGACTGAAAAGAGTTGAAGGACATTTTTAAAAAAAAGATTTAGAAGACATTAGTTTGATACAAAACTTTCTTCTGTAGCTCAATAGTTCTGCTTGAGCTATGCTATTTGTCAGACACATAACACTTTTAAAACCCTGAAAGGGTAAAGCAAGCAGCTCATCTCATCATGGGAATCTTTTGTAAATATACACATTAATTAAATGCCAAAATGATACTATTTTGAGTATCTATTTCAAATTCTTTTTATTCAGGATGGAATTAAGAATTCCACTCCAAGAAAAAGCAAATGATGTCCCAGTTACTAAAATACTTTTAAAGGAATTTATTCCTTTTTGGACATGTTTCTGCCAATTGATAGTGACAGAGGCATTCATTTTATAGGACACATGGTAAAGAAAATTTACAAAGCTTTAAAGATTCAATAGTATTTTCACTCTCCACATTACAGAGAGACTGCAGGGGCAAGACAAAAAAATGGAACTATTACAAATAGCTAAAATTTTTATTGAGGCTGAACTTTAATCAGATGACCTGCTTTGAGTCCTTACAAGCTTATGTTTCTAAATGCTGTATGTTCTCATGCTCCTAAGTATATATATATCCTGATACCTATTTCTTGTACAACTGCAGATTTATGTACTTTTGCTCTACTGTAATAAGAATTAATGTGGAACAAAGATTCAATGCCTGTTTAAATTGCACTGATTGAGAGGATAAAAAGTTTAAAGATTGCTAATATCCAGCCTTATGAAAGAAGAATGTCACTTAAGTCCTTCATCTGTCTGATTCTAAACATACTGGATTCTTCTGTATTGTCTGCAGAAAGTCAGTTCCAATAGGCTACAATTAATGTAATTATACTACAACCAGATCTCATCCTGTTGCCAAAGGATTTTATTCCCTTTATTTTAAATAATTGCTACCAAAGTGACTATAAGCATTTAACACCATTTATGCTTATCCCTGGTTACCCTCAAACTAATCAGGATAATGCTAAGAGTACATAAACTCTGCTGTAACAAATCTTCCTCGATGTCTAACAAGTAACATCGGAAATAAGACAGCAATTTCCAAGAAAGGAAAAAAAAAACTGCTGGCATATTATTTCTATATTATGGGATAACCAAAACAAAACGGCCTACATGAAAATTCTAGCATACAATATTAGATATCAAAAGACACTAACTTCTTTTTACATAAGATCGCACTTAGCTTATTCTCATAAAATGACTATTGTATGAATCCTGTTGCAATATCTTTACCCCATCCCATGATACTGTTACAACTGAACATTATAATATATAACTTTGACTAATCTGTTCTAAATTGTAAGTTAATGTAAAATACTATAGCAGGAGGTAATTCTAGAACTTTCTAGGATTTCCTTTGAGAATTTCAACAAGGGTATATTAGACCCAGCACCTCATATTAAACTTGTTTCTGTTTGACAATTGTTTTCAAAAGAGCTATCTGAGTATTTTTCTAATTCTACATTTTCAAATAGGTCTGATGACTAAACACTTGGAACTTGGACTTCTTTCTACCAATAAACTCAGTTAGTTGACCAAGAGGTTAAGTTCGTTACCCAAGGTGACAGAGCTAGTATTAGAGGCAGTATCTGAGCACAAGTTTTTCCAACTCCAAATCCAGTTAATTTTACCATGATGCCTGTCCAAATAAAATACACTCTGAAATATACTAACTTCAAACTTATACATTGAATAAAAATAATTTCACAGTAAAATATGCTACTGAAATTTTTTATAATAAATGTATTTTATAATAAAACCATTAACTAATGTTTTAACTCTTCCTCTAAATTTCACTTGCAGGTATACACTTCCACACAACTATTTGATTACAAGATAGTATATGATCCATTTACATTTTACAAGGCATCAAAGCTAGTGGTTGGCAGTTTGATTCAGTTACGTACTGATATATGGAGCCATGCCTGGGTCCAGCGTAGTAATCATGCTTTCTACCGAGTGTTTAGTTTTATCAAGCACAGATTTCACCATAGGATTCCCAGCCACACCCTGCATCACAGAAATAAATAAGTAAATAAGTAAATACAAGTTACATTTACATTAAGTACATGATCTTTTACAAAATATTTTCCTGTTATAGGCTCTTAACATACAAACATTCATTCCAACAATAAATCTGAACCACCCTTTCAGTCCCTTAAGGTGAGCACCACCTTCTTATTATATTTTTTTATTTACTGAAAAAACCTTCAAGATTCCATACCCATGAAAATAGCTTAAAGTCAAACTTACCTTTGCAATAACAGTGTCTTTAGAATTAAAGATAGGATATTTAATGAATTATTGAAATACTTTTGTACCTCAGATAAGAGAACCTACTTCTAGACTAATAGCCTTTATATGAGAGAAATTATGCTGATATTATTAAGTCTGTTTTATTTTCTTACCCATTCTGAGCTTACGTCTAAATATAAAAGTTATAATTTAAACTAGGGTCAGAAATTGCCCTTTTCCACAAGGAAGTACATTCTTCAATTAAAAACCAGGTCAACTATAACCCTAAAGAAATCAAAGAAGAGAAAAAGGGTCCATAAAAGTTCTTTTAGTCATAGCAGAGAACTGTAAAGTAAGGTAAAACAGTTGACCAAATTATTGAATGTGAATATAATGAAATATCATTACACTGTAAGAAATGATGAAAGGTACAGTTTCAGAGAAACTTGGAAAGATTTGTATGGATTTATGCAGAATAAAGTGTACAGAACCAGAAAAACATTATATATAATAATAAAAGAACTTGAAGAGTTGAAAGAGTTAAGGACTGTGTACAATGCAATGACCAACCACAATTCCAGAGGAATGAAAAAGCATGCTACCCATCTTCTAAAAAGATGATGGATTCAAGATACAGGATAAGACAAACATTGTCAGACATAAAGTGGTATTTTGTTTTGCTTGCCGACATATTTGTTACAAGCGTTTTGTTTTTCTTCTTTAATTTTTTCAACTTGGGGATAAAGGGAGTTTAGAGATAGGGTGCTTCTGCCCCCCCAAAAAGAAAGAAAAGGGTCACTGAAACATTTTTAATGCACAGAAGAGAGGGAAAGCTAGAAAAAATCAGAGACAAGCAGGACAGATTTGAGAATTCCATGTTAAATTAATTTTATATGTAAAAAGAAAATAAACCTGCAGAGATTCTCAGTTTCATGTCCTGTTGTCTTTTCTACTATTAATATGGAAATACTAGTGTTATTTGGTCTTTGTTAAGTTCAGAATTTTAAAAAAACGCCATATATTCTCTCTCAGATATATACCACATATATAGCAGCCACAAATACACATATATATAGGCATTTAGGTTACAGAGTGGACAGACTGCTAAACTTGAAGTCAAGAAGATCTGAGTTCAAATTCAGCCTCACACACTTACTAGCTCTGTGGCCCTGAGCAAGTCACTTAATCTCTGTCAGTCTTAGTTTCCTCATCTGTAAAATGGGAATAATAATAGCACCTATCAATACTATACGATGATCAACTGTAAACGACTTAGCTATTCTCAGTAATACAATGATCTATGACAACTCCAAAGGCCTCATAATGAAAAAGGCTATCCACCTCCAAAGAAATAACTGATGGAGGCTGAAGCCAGATCAAATAATACTTTTTTTTTTCTTTTGCTTTTCAGTGAGGCAATTGGGGTTAAGTGACTTGGCCCAAGGTTACACAGCTAGTAAGTGTCAAGTGTCTGAGGCTGAATTTGTACTCAAGTCCTCCTGACTCCAAGGCCAGAGCTCTATTCACTACACCACCAAGCTGCCCCTAAATAATACTTTTTAAATTTTATTTTTCTTGAGATTTTTTTTGTGGGTCTGTTTTCTTTCCCAACATGACTAATATGGAAATAAGTTTTGCATGACTGCACACGTATATCCTATATCAAATTGCTTGACTTCTCAAAGAGGGTAGAGAGAACAGAGAGAAGGAGGGAATTTGGAACTCAAAATTAAAGAATGATAAAAATATTTTGCATGTATTTAAAAAAAACTGGAATAATAGCACCTATCTCATCATCATTAATATTACTGTGTATATTAGACTATAAGAATGTTATTTTCTTTGTTCAACACGACCTCAAACTGTTTTTGCTAGTGTTGATGTATTGTTCGATTTAACTACTGATGTGACCTAGATTCACACAAAATAGTATCCACAATTTCTGGTCATGTGATGATAGCTCCAGACAAAGACATTAATGTTTATCCTATGAGCTACTATTGAATACATGAGTACAGCATGTCATTACTCTGTGCCTGTATTTCCTTAATAATTCAGCATTCAAACAGGGTGAGGAATTGGTAGATGTGGCTATATGATAAAAAAGTATATCACAGAACTAGTCTCTTTACATTCTTTTCTATGGTCTGGATCAGTGGTTTTATTGGCATAAGAAACTCCTGGTCTAAAAACTCCCTGTATTACACCAAAGCAGATGATCAACTCATCTGTAACTTACTCTGTTAAGAGAGCTGCATGGGGCACTGAAACATCTATGGTCACAAAGATAGTATGTGGAAGAGGCAGGACTTAACTCAGGTTTTCCTGTCAGTTTTCTGCCTACTAACACTGCCTCTATTATACAATATTGTTTGCTATTACCTTTACACATTTCTTCTAGAACACTCTGCTTACAAAGTTTCTCTTTCATTTGTGGCCTCTCCACATTTAGATTATTCCTCCCTACCCATATTTATTCACTGACAGAATTACAGAACTTTAGAGAAATCATATTTTCCTTTAACTTCTCAAAACAATGACATTCTATTGAGGGACTGGTTTTGTGTACACTAATTTGCTGAGCTACATGGATAACATGGTCTCTTATTTCATGTACACATACATGTATATATATATATATGTACACATGCATCATGTGTATTTGCCAACAAATTACAAACAAGTCAAAGATCTGAAAGTAATAATTATTCTTATTCTTTAAAAAAAAATCTGTTTTAGATCTACTTAGCACTAATTCCAACAAGGGAGAAGGATTATTACTTCTTTGTTTACAAATCCATAGCAGAGTCCCAGGAAACACCAATAAATTGGAAACAATAGATTAATCCACAATCCACTGACCCATTAATAAAACACTCTTAAATGATAAAGATGTATAATTTTTCTGTAGTGATTCCTAAACCTAAATATATCTTAAATGTAAAATACATTCAGATTTTTCAATAGCAAGCATTTTAATGAATTTTTATTCAATTTAAATTTTTTAGGTTTGAGCTTATTTAAAAACATTTTTTTTAATCCATCTTACTTCTATTTCAGTGAAACAAAAGCACTTCTTTCTTGTCTTGTTCTCCTCTTCGTGGAAGAAAAAAAACCAACCCATACTTTACCTTGATAAACCCCCAGATGCCACCAGCAGATGATTCATTCTGAACCCTTGCCAGTCTAGGGTCTTCATGCTCCTCTGGGAAAGTGATAGATGAGCCACTTCCAGTTCCCTGTGGCACAGGCGTCAAACTGGCTTGTTGAGAAATAGGAGGAGGTAACATACCTAAACAAATACATTTAAAAATAAATATATTTGCTTTTTCTGTGAGATCCGAGATTAGTAATTCAGCTATTATACATCTTTAATAATATTAAGTCAGTCTCAGTTTTAAATTCTAGGTACCCAAGCAAAAATTTCAGCAATATTCTGTGGGTTATTTTCTTTTCACCATTTATTAATATTCTTTGAACCTGGTATTACGTGGCTAGAAAATTATCTAAAGCAAAAAGCTTACTGCAGAGGTCAGGCTGACCACAGAGAGTTCCCAAGGAAGCCAGAAGTTGTAAGGAATACCTAAATCCCACCAATTCTTGTTTTGGGTTCAACCAAAGCTTGTGTTTTGGGTTTCCCAAACTAGGCAGACTTACCTGCTGATATACATCTCAAATTCCCCTTCTCTTGGGGACTACCTACTGCTCACATGAGGCTAATCAGGTAAATGTCCTTAAGCCCTTGTCTGAACTTCCAAGTAATGTAATCTCACAAAGATGTGAAGAGGGAATCACCCCTTCTTTCCCACTTTCTCTCTCTACCAAATTTCAGATTTGAGTTTGTTCTCGTGAACAATTCACTTTACTTTTTATTTAATTACAATCTAATCTCTAAAGGGAAGCCTCCTTCTTTTATTACTCACCTGAAATGCATGGACAATATCTGTATATACAACTCATCTAAACAGCTTTAAACTGAGCTTGAAAATAAACTTATTTATGCACACTATTAAAATCCTGAGCACTAGTCCCTTACATATATAAAAACAATATAGACATACATAATATACCAGAATATATAAGAATGACTATATTAAGTACTGTACAGTACATACTTGCTTCAATTAATGTGAGAACTCCCTCCACTAATACAGAGTTCAACTCTTCTGTATCTTAGTAAATGTTCTTCAAGACTTACTATATCAAAAAAAGTCATTACCCTATAACCAATCTAGTAATGAATAAAGCTGGTCTCTGAATTTATCTGGTCCTTGGAAAACAAGTTGGTCCTCAAAAACAATATAGAGTTCATAGCAAGGCCTTTACTCAAGTCTACTTCAGGTTGGTTCCGCCAACCTGGGCTATGGCTATGCTGAATTGTCTTTAAGAACCCAAAGTTAACTCAATGCTACAATGAGATATCAAAGTAGGATTTTAGCAGAGACATACCATCTAGTTCAAACTTAAGATTTATATGTAGACAGCTACAAATATAATATCCATGCCTTATGACAGACCATTGTAAGAAAAGCATGCTAGCTAGAACCTGCTAAAATAGTGATAAGAAAATACAAATCACATCAATATACATAACTAGTTTTTCCCAGTGGAAATGGTAGGCAGCAGGAAGTTGAAAATGCCGCCTGTCCAAGAGAGTTTATTTGTTCCCTAAACTGTTCTCCACGAAAGCAAGTAAATCTGAAGCAGGGTAACTGTCCATCACCACTATTGGCATGCAAAAGCTTTTCTTTTTAGAGAGCTAGCTGAACGTTATTCCTTTGAACTACAAAACTTGCTAGGCCCTGCAGTTATTTAACTGGACCTTTAGAAATTTCATCAATTTACCTGGATAAGTTTTCCTATGATGCCAAGAACAGAAGTGTATCATAGAATTCTGAGCCATATTTTTAAGGATACTATAAGTCTTCAAAATGCAATTCAAAAGTATGTTTCATGACCAAAACTTTCATTTAACTTCATCAACAAGTGCATATAAGGTTATGTGCCACTGGAACCAAAGTACTGAGGAATATATTTTAGGAAAATTCTTGCTAAGAAGAGTTACCTGTAACAGCAGGTGCAGAAAATGATGGCATCAAAGGCGTCTGGGGAGTTCTTCCTGCATGACCCCTTGTGATGTCATAGACCGAATCAAGAGAAAATCCTGATATAGGAGGACCAGTAGGAGGAGGGGAAATAACAGTGCTTGGAGCAGTGCTTGAAGGAAAATATGGAAATGGGAGAGGAGCATTACTACTGAAGGTTGTAGCAGTTGATGGGGAATCAGGAGGTGGGACCGAACAAACAGGAGGTTGGGTGGTAGAAACAGAAAATGAGAGAGCAGAAACTGGTGAAGATGGTGTAAAAGGCACAGAAACTGAACTCTTCAAGGGAGCAGCTGATGGCACAGATTTAGAGCATGTTAATGCTACTGGTGAAGATGGTGCAAAAGGCGCAGAAACTGAACTCTTCAAGGGAGCAGCTGATGGCACAGAGTTAGAGAATGTTTGTGCTAGTGAGATTTGCTTTGAGGATTTATTAGTTGAAGGAAATAACAAGGAAGAAGCTGGAAGAAAAAAAAAATCAAAATATTACTGACAATCTCTTACAAAAATTTCCTTACTATTTCACAGTTCTTTTCTTTTAATAGTCAAGTTTATTAAAATATTCTCCCCAATAATAATTAGTGAAAAATCCCTAATATGCTTATTAAATTAAGTGAAATTTGGCTCAAATGAGTTCCAACAATCACTTTAAACAAAAAAAAAAATCCAATAATGGAAAGTAAATTGAATCATGTTAGTTATAAAAAGAAGTTTTCATGGTGATGAGGTGGAGAAGTGTTTGTTTTAATGTTTTAATGCCATTTTTTCATTGCTTCTCATGTTTTCCTGACTGTTCTCAATTCAAAACCTTGAGTCAGAAGACTGCCAGAGAATATTCAGAACATTATCAATGTACTTGGGTACAGGTTAACTTCCATCTCTCCACTGCTCACTTCCTCCTAGGTTATCACTCTGCTCTAGTTACATTCTCCTTTCTGCCCTACCTGGCCTCCTTGGTAAACCAGTTCAATTCTATTGTCTTTTTTTCAAAACCCTTGCCCCCTTATCTCAATCGTGGATTAATTCCACCAGGCACTGTCTTCAATCCTATTCACTCACTGAACTGAGTTGGAGAAAATTGTGATGGAGTACTGACTGGGTACAAAATTGTTATATAATCTCAGTTGAGCACTCACTGCAACAAGGCTATCCTTTTATTGCTCCCTGATCAATTCACTATTCAACTTAGCACAGTGCCTTTCCCCAACCTTTTCATCCCTCCTCAAACTATGCCCCCCATCATCTCAGTTGAGAACCTTACCTCAAATTTCACTGAAAAAATTGAGGCCAGAGAACTCCCTCTTGTTCCCTCTTCCTCATCTCACAACTCAGATGCCTTCCCTCACTATCCCCTCTCTCATTCTTATCTCACATAAAACAATAACCCTTAGGTGTTATTCAATCTTGTCTTCTTTAGCAAACCGACCCTTCTATCATTCCCACCCTCTCACTAACCTTCAATCTATCTTACTGGCTGCTTCCCTGCTCCCTACAAACACGCTCATGCCTCCCCCATCCTCAAAAAACAAACAAAAAACCCTCATTTGTTCCATCCATCCCATCATCCTCCTATATTTCTCCTCCCTTCCATGATTATGTTCTTTGAGAAGCCCATCTATAACTGATGCATCCAATTCCTTTCCTCTCTCTTATCCATCTACAGTCTGGTTTCTGATCCCATAATTCAACTGAAATTCCTCTTTCCAAAACTATTAACAATCTCTTAATTGCTAAACCTAATGGCCATCTCTCAATCTTCATTCTTTTTTACCTCTCTGTAGGCTTTGACACTGCCAATCATCCTTTTCTCCATGATATACTCTTTCTAGGTTTTCAAAAAATGGCTCTGACCCGGTTCCTCCCTACCCATCTGACTGCTCCTTCTCTTTCTTTGTCTTTTGCTGGATACTTAACCAAATCTACTCACTAACCATACATTTTCCACAGGGATCTATCTGTCCTGGGCCCTCTTATCTCCTAGGTACTATTTCACTTGATGATCTCAATAAATCCCATAAGCTCAATTATCATTTCTTTGCAGATGATTTTCATTTATTTATCCAGCTCTAACTCTCTCTTAGGGCAGGTAAGTAGTGCAGTGAATAAAACACCAAACCTGGAGTCAGGATTATCCTAGTTTAAATCCAGCCTCAGGCACTTAATAGCTGTGTGACTGTGGGCAAGTCACTTAACCCTGTTTGCCTCAGTTTGTCATCTGTAAAACAAGCTGGAGAAGGAAAAGATAAACCATTCCAGTATCTTTGCCAAGAAAACCCCAAATAGGGTCATAAAAAGTTGGACATGACTGAAATGACTGAACAACAAAAACTCTCTCTTGCCTACCAGTCTTGCATCTCCAACTGCTTATTAGGCATTTCAAAATGGATGTCTCATACACATCTTAAATTCAGCATGTCCCAAACTGGACTCATTTTCTTTCTTCACAAACTCTCCCTTCTTCCAAACTTCCCTATTACTATCAAGGATACCACTATCCTCCCAGTTACCTAGATTTACAACCTAAGTTATCATCTTCAACTCCTCACTTTCTCACATCCCATATTTAATCAGCCAAGTTCTAGCAATTCTATCTTTACAGCATCTCCCAAATACACCCCCTTCTCCCTTCTGACACTGCAATCAATCTGATGCAGGAATTCATCTCCTCATGCCTAAATTATTGTAAGAGCCTTCTGGTTGGTTTCCCTACTTCAAGTCTCTCTCCACAACAGTTCATTGCCTACTCAGCTGTCAAAATGATCTTCCTAAAATGCAGGTCTGACTATATTACCTCCCTATTCAATAAATTCTAGTGTTCCCCTATTACCTCCTGGATCAAATATAAAATCCTGCTTGGGTTTTAAAGCCCTTCATAATCCTGGCTTGTTCCTACATTTCTAGTTTTCTGACACCTTATGCCCCTCCACATACTCTGTGATCCAGTGACAACGGCTCCCTTGTCATTCTTTGAACAAGAGAGTTAATTTCCTTATTCCAAACATTTTCACTGGCTGTCCTCCATGCCTAGAATGCTTTCCTTTTTCATTACTGCCTCTCAGTTTCCCTGCCTTTTTTCACGTATCAGATAACACCCCAACTTCTATGGGAAGCCTTTCCATCTCTCTTGATGTTGGTGTCTTCCTTCTGTTAATGATTTCCAATTTATCCTGAAAATTTGTATATAGTTGTTTCTATGTTGTCAGTCCCATTAGATGATGACTTCCTTGAATGCAGGGACTGTTTTTTGCCTTTCTCTGTATCCCCATAACTTAGCATAGTGCCTGGAACATAGCAGTCATTTAATAAATGCTAGTTGACTGACTGAAAAAGATCTTCTACATCATGACTATACATTTTCACTGGTTATTTCTCAAGCTTGGACTTCTCTCTTCCTGTGTCTGCCTCCTGGCTTCCTTCAAGTTCTAGTTAAAATCTCAATACCTATAAGAAGTCTTTTCTGATTCCTTTTAATGCTAGTGCCTCCTCTCTGCAATTTTCTTCAACTTATCCTATACATCTTGTTTGCATGTTGTCTCCTTCATTAGATTGTGAGCTCCTTGAGGGTTCTGCCTTTCTTTGCATGACCAGTATTTAGCACAGTGTCTGTTATATAGAAGTCATTCAATAAATGGTTTTTTTTTTTTGATTATTGTCACAAAAGATGAATTGTAATTACTTTGCATACAAGGACCATAGACTGATATACAATATCAAATACAAATTGATAAACAATATCAAATACAAAATCAATAGAAAATATGTGTGAATGAAGTGCTTTATAACAGGGTTTCATATCCTATTTATATTTTCTATGGTTTTCCTATTTAATTTTCAGTTTTAAGTACAGGGATAATTTTCTCCTCATTTTAAGCAATATAAATACCTACTGACAAAATTGGTCAGTTATATGCCCTTGGCCCAACCTACAATTCCATTCACAAGTTACATTTTCCTTCTTTGGAATTAAATGAAAAAAAAAACTTGCCAGCATTATTTCAAATTAGAGTTAGCATAGTCAACTGAATAAAAAGAACAATTATTTTAAATTCTTCTTTCTCTCACAAATACTAAAATTTTAGAAAAGTAGCTTTTGAAACATGTATTTTTACTAATTTTGAAAAAAATCCATTATTATTTATATTTGCAAAGATTCAAAAAAATCCTCAACAAATTAGTTGCTGAGCAACCACATATACCTAGAGGGATAGGAGTAGATGTTGCAGTTACTGTTCTTGCAGCAGTTGGTGGGGGAGTTCCAGGTGGTGTTGTTTCTATTCCACTCTCTTCCATCATTTTGCTTTGATGTCATATACTGTAAACATGGTATACATAGTCAGGATAAAGCACCATTTTAAATCACAGTTAGCATAGTCAACAAAAGAACAACACAATTATTTAAAATTTTTATAACTTTTTTGAAAAAGTTGTCTGTTAAAAAAATTTTAAGGTAGAAAGTCCCAAAGCATGGTCTTCACAGCATTCATATTCCTCTGTCACCAATGAATATGAGAGGAAGTGTGTACACAGACAGCTGATCTGGGAGTCGGGCAGACCTGGATTCAAGTCTAACTTCTGACAGTTAAGGTGGCCAAGATCAAGTCACTTAATCCCACGATACTCGATACTACAAATTGTAGGTCAGGAACCCATTTACCTCATAGGTCACACTTACAAAATCACAAGTATGATAGAAGTTGAAGGAGAATAAGAATCTTCTTTTTAAAAGGTAGTTTAATGAACTATAGCAATAACTTAAAAATAACTAAATGATATACTTTCTTACTGAGCAAGCATATCAAATTGCTAGAATTATCATTTTAATCTGTTCAATACCAATGCAGAATTAGACTGACAAAAATAATTAAATGTTTATTAGGTAAAAATGCAGTGTTTTTTAAAAACTTTTTTTTCTAAAACACTGACAGATATAGTGAAAAAACAGGATGTTTATTAACTCTTTTCCAAAACAAACACGAAAAGCATAGACTTTCTAAAATAGATTAATCAATGGCTCTGTGTCATTGTAAGAAAGGAAAGTACACCAGAGATAATATAATCAATTCAATTTAATAAGTATTTATAAGTACCTATGTGCTAAGCATATAGGGATACCAAGAAAAAAACAAAACAATGCGTAACTTCAAGAACTACACATTCTATTATGGCATACAACAAAGCAAGGTTGTAATCTTAACTGATGAGTTACAAAATCTGAAGAAACTTTAAAATAGAAATTAGGACAAAATTGAAAATCTAAGGAAAAAAGATAATATATATTATATGTATTGCTCTTACAATTCCATGTTATATATGAAATTAGGCCAACCTGCTGTAGCTATTTAAATGCTTTTACTTATTTTTTGTATGCTTTGTTTATACATCACCTTTATTTTTCAGTAAATATCAATAACATCTTTAAAAATAAAAGTATTAGTTATGTTTTCCTCCATATACGTGTATGTATACATACATACATATACACACAAATACACATATATTTATTTTTGTTCCTTTTCTTCTTTAGGCACTTTGTCCATAGTTAGTTTTGCTTAACCTACTTTACTGAGCATGTCTTTCCATAGGCTCTTCCCCTTTTACCTCCCCATTTTCCCTTTGCCCTTTCTATCATCTCAGTTCTTTATATTTTCTTGAAATGTTAACTAAATAAATAAAATTGAGAAAATATCTATTTCTTTCCCCTTTTGCCCCTTCTCTTTCTGTCCCCATTTAAGAGAATAGTTAAGTGACCAATACGGAAATATGTTTAACATGATTGCACATATTGGGTTGACTGCCTTCTTGGGGAGGGAGAGACAGAGGGAGAAAAATCTGGAACTCAAAAGCTTACAAAAAAATGAATGTTGAAAACTATCTTTACATGTAATTGGAAAAAATACAATACTATTACCAAAAAAAGAGTAGTTAAAAACCTTATCTATCTTTGACCTTTTATTTTTAGTAGCTTTCTTTTACTACATCCCTTTCTAAGAACTTTTTCCTTTACTTTTGTCATACTCATTCTTCCCTGGAAGGAAGAAGATAGTGTGCTAGGACATAGAGAAGCAATAGAGAGGAAATACAGTTTCGCATACAAGATCATAAGCATGACGCAAACTCCTTCTCTTTTACTACCTTATTTCTAAAGAAAGAAGTGGTAGATAGGAAAGAAAGGAAAAACAAAGGTAAATATACAATACACAATAATAACTCTGAGTAGGATGACAACTCATAAAATGGAAAAGAACAAAATGGATAAGAAAGCAGAATCTAACAAAATATGTTTTTTTCCTGTTGTTACTTTTTATTTATTTACATTTTTATTGAGTATTTTATTTTTACCCAATTGCATGTAAAACAATTTTTAACATTTGTTTTTAAAACTTTGAGTTCCAAATTTTCTCCCTTCCTCCTTCCCCAAACCCCCTCATTGAGAAGGCAATCAATTCGATATACATGTGTAGTCAAGCAAAACATTGCCATTAACAGTCATGTTGTGAAAGAAAATGGACCAGAAAAAAACTCTAGAAAAATAAAGTTAAAAAAAAAAGTATGCTTCAATCTGTATTCAGACACCATCAGTTTTTTCTTTGTGGATGGATAGCATTTTTCATCATAAGTCCTTCAGTGTTGTCTTGGATTGTTGTATTGCTGAGAATAGCTAAGTGATTCACAGCTGATCATCACACAATATTGCTGTTCCTTTATACACAGTATATTTCACTTTGCATCAATTTCTCCAGAGGTCTGTCATACCTAACCTTTCTAATATTTTATTTACCTCCTCAACTTCTTTCTTGTTTATTTTGTGGTTAGATTTATCTAATTCTGAGAGGGGGAGGTTCAAGTCCCCCACTAGTAGTATAGTTTTGCTGTCTATTTCTTCCTGTAACTCCCTGAACTTCTCCTCTAAGAATCTGGATTCTATATCACAAAATATGTTTTTTTTTTACATGAAATATAAAGATTCACACAAAATAAGAGGCTAGAACAAAATCTATTAGGCTTTGGAGAAACTAAAAAACAAAGAGGTAGCAATCAGGACTACAGATAAGGCTACAGTAAATACAGACAAGCAGGGAAGTAACACTGTGTTTACAGATAACAAATTACAAACCAATGTCAATACTTAATGTATCATTACACCTATATAATTAAAGGAAAACAATCAAATCGGAGGAAGAAAAAAATAATACTACTACATACACTACAGTGGAGGACCTTGCAGACTTGGGCAAATATAACCAATAGATAAAAAAACTTAAGGACCCTGGAGAGAACTTTATAACAAAAAGTACTTAGAGAAACAGGGGTAGTTGAGTGGTATAGTGGACAGAGTACCAGCCCTGGAGTCAGGAGGACCTGAGTTCAAATCTGGCCTCACACACATAACACTCACTAGCTGTGTGACTCTGAGCAACTAACTTAACTCCAATTGCCTCATATAAAAAATTAAAAAAAAAAATTTAAAAAAAATACAGAAATAGATTTCAGGAGATTAATGAAATTGGACAGAAAGGAATTTGCATACTTCTGGAATATACATGACATCTTTACAAAGAATGACAGAGTATTGGGGCAGAAAAACTTCAACAAAAAATGTATAAAGGCAGAAATGCTAAATATATCATTTACTGATTACAGTGTAATCAAAGTTACACTTAAAAAACAGCCCTTAAAGATTTTTAATTGGATACTAAAAAATACAATTCTATAGAATTGGTAGGTCAAAGAACAAATTATACAAACAACAGAAAATTTCATCAAAGAAAATGACAATAAGACAAAAAGGAAAATATATGTCTTAAATGCTTTCAAAAACAAAGGAAGAAATTAATCAAATAATGGGGTATGCAATTCAAAAGACTTGAAAAATTAAAAATCACCAACTAAACAAATTAGGAATTCTGAAAATTAAGAAGAGATCAAATTAGAAACAAAAAAAAATTCAATTGGTTAATAAAAACAAGAGCTGGTTTAAAAAACAGTAAAAATATAAATAATCTATTTTTTAAAAGAGAAAAGCAAATTTTTCATATTAAAATAAAAAACTCACAATAATTAATGAGAAAATAATGAGGAAATAAATGAGGAAATAAAATAATGAGGAAATTATAAGAAACCATTTTACTAACAAAATTAATTTAAAGGATATAGGTGAAATATTTACAAAACTATAAAATACTGAGATTAGCAAAAGAAAAGACTAATTTAGATTACCTAATATTAGGAAAAGAAATTGAGTAAGTCATAAATGAACAATGAAAGAAAAAGAAACTCCAGGGTCACGTGAATTTACAAGTGAATTCTATCAAATATTCAAGGAATAATTAACTTAAATATTATATAAAATGTTAACAATCAGAAAACATCCTAACAATCTCTATGATACCATCTTTGTATCATATTTGTATATATGGCTCGATATCTAAGCCAGGGAGAGGCAAAGCAGAGGAAGAAGTCTGAAGATCAATAACCCTAATGAATACTGATTTAAAAAAATTTAATAAAACATTAGCAAGTAGGCTACACTAAGACATTGGAAAAGATTATATACTATGACCAGACTGAATTTTTACTAGGAATGTAGAGTTGGTTCAATATTATTTTTGTTTTGCTTTTTGGTGAGGCAATCGGGGTTAAGAGACTTGTCCAGGTCCCACAGCTAGTAAGTATCATGTGACTGAGGCCACATTTGAACTCAGGTCCTTCTGATTCCAAGGCCAGAGCTTTATCTACTGCACCCCCTAGCCCAGGTTTGGTTCAATATTAAGATGACTACAAATATAATATGCCAAACTGAAGAAGATTACTAATATGATAAACCGTGTAAATAATACAATAAAAACCAAATCATATTAATCAATGTGGGAAAAGCTGACAAAATCCAACACCTGTTTCTATTAAGAACTAGAAAACATAGGAATAAATGGTCCCTTTCTCATTAAATAATATCTATATAAATCCAAAACCAAACAATTTATGTAAGGGAGAACAGTTAGAGGTCTTTCTAATAAGACTGAGGTAAGGCAAAGATGCACATTATCAATACTACTATTTAATATACCACTAAAAATATGCTAGCTATAGCAATAAGACAAGAAAAAGCAGGAAAGGAAATAAGCATAAATAAGAATGAAACAAAATTAATGCTTTTGGCAGATGATGTTACAGTATGATGAAAGAATCAGAGTCAACTACCTCAGCAAAGGAACAGAATATAGAAAAATCCATATAAATCATCAGCATTCCTATATATAAACAACAAAACTCATCATGCAGAGCTAGAAAGAGAAACTATATACAAAAATAATC